CGCTGACCCGGCACCAGTGGGCGCACGCCGAGGAGAAGCCGCACCGCTGCCCTGACTGCGGCAAGGGCTTCGGCCACAGCTCGGACTTCAAGCGGCACCGGCGCACGCACACGGGCGAGAAACCGTTCCGCTGCGCTGACTGCGGCCGCGGCTTCGCGCAGCGCTCCAACCTCGCCAAGCACCGGCGAGGCCACACGGGCGAGCGGCCCTTTCCCTGCCCTGAGTGCGGCAAGCGTTTCTCCCAGCGATCGGTGCTCGTGACGCACCAACGCACGCACACGGGGGAGCGGCCGTACGCGTGTGCCAACTGCGGCCGGCGCTTCTCGCAGAGCTCGCACCTGCTCACGCACATGAAGACACACCGCGGGCAGACGGGCGCACAGACGCAGAACACCGGCGCCAAGGCGCAGGCGCCTGCTAAGGCAACGCCGCCTCTGCCACCACCGGGCTTGGGCACCGGGTCAGGAACGCTGCTCGAGTTCGCTGGCGGAACCAGCTTCGGCTCCGATCCTGCCGCGTTCGCTGGGCCCTCGGGTACCTACGAGGAGAGCGTTTTGTGAGGCTGGTCGAAGCGCGCGGCGCCCTCCCACTCCTAGAAGCGGGCTGAGGAGTCCCAATCTTGGGTGCTCTTGGGCCCTATTGCCCCGAGCTTCAGATCTCGCTTGGGTGCGCACAGGCCGCTACCCTGATCAAGAGCGCCCCATCCCTCTGTGCTGCAGAGATAGCGGGCAAAGCCAATTCGTTCATCACGGATTCAGATTCAGGTGGCCCGTAGGGCCAGTGGCATAGGAGTCTGTCACTCGGCTTTCTGAGGAGCGATGGGGAAGCACTGTCATTGGAAGAGGGTGAGAGAGGTCATCCAGCTGCATCCGGGTTTCTTGGTGGGTTTGGCCTCTTCCCATTCTCCCTAGGAGTTTCAGGGACCGTCTTCCGGTCACTTGGGTCCAGTAAGTTTAAGAACATGGTTCATGACAGGCAGGAGCCTCACTAGGATTTTTTGGGGGGATGGAGATGCGAACAGGGGAAGCTTTTGTTCTATCGACTGGGTATTTATTTCCATCTTTTGTATAGCCTGAAAACTGGGGAGGTGTTGAAAAGGCAAGATACCAAATGCGTAGTCAGGTTGGGGATGTTGGCTAGGTCCCCGGGGACTTGGAAGCCTTATTTGAGAATCTTACTCCAACCCCAACGAGCACTGGCTACAAGGTGCGTTTTGGTATTGGAATCCCCTCCAAACTTGTTGGTGCTCTAGTGGCTGCAAGTGGCATACATGGACATCTTTGGAGTGCCTGGTGTGGGCTCCTACAGACCTGGTCTCCTGACTAGTTCCCTAGCAGCACCCTCTGCTGGAGCAGGTCGCTGCGGAGCCCTGTGCTCAGCCTTCCACAGCACTGGGGTGGGTTCTGGAACCTTCCCCTCAGCTTATAATAGGGGCCCATTATCCTCTGCAAGACTCTTAACTCTGCTGTAATCACCCTACGCTAGAAGCAGGTAGCGTTTCTGCCATGGGTGGGTCCATGGCTTACAAAGTGATTGGTGGTTTGCACAGTGCTTGTCCACCTAAGATATCACGTGGACCTGAGCTCACAACGCCTTACTATGCAAGGCCCTTGCCCAGTGGATAGCTAACTCTCCAGCCTGGACTGCTGGCATCTGAGGTGTGGCACACACAAGCCCCTCCCACCCTCCATGAATTCTGGGCCAGTGTTAAAGAAGCGAGATTTCCACCCAACTGCGTTCCCTTTTAGACCTAGATCCTTTGTTGTAGTGTAGACAAGTCATTGGGGCCCAAGAGCTAACGGGGAGGCTGCTAGGTGCTGGGTGGGTAGTCCATGGGTGGGAGGAGCTGGGGTGGTGATGGTCAGAAGGTAGCCTGGCCAGGTGAGGTGAAGTGGAAGGCATGGGTCCTGATTGTCAGCAGTGGCCTCCCTGTCCCATTTTTTATACTCTTCCCATGTCTTCTGGGACATGAACTTCAGAAAAAGCCAGGGCAGGGTGGGCTGGCGGGACACCAACCCCATCCCTCTATTCCCCAGCGGTTTCCACTCTGCCCCTCTGCTGTGGGCAGGAGGACCTAGCTTTAATAAAGATGGAGAAACAAGTTTTGGGACTGGACTCTGCTTTTGCCCCCACCTTGGTGTCCCATCAGGGAAGCTCACTCTGCTAAGTCCATCTCTTTTCTGACTTGTTTTCCCCTTCTGAGAAGCTGGAATCGATTCTTGTGTGGCACATCATGGATTTGACCTGTGCCAGCTACACCTTGCTGGGCTGCCTCACACTGCCACACATGTGGAACAACACGCATGGGACATGGCGGGGATTCATTCGGCTAACCTTCCGGGTTTAAAAAGAGGGCCTGATCTTTCTCAGAGTGCAGATCCATGCTTTGGCCTTTTTTTCAGGGGTTCCAGTGCTGTGGGGTTTATCTACTCCAAAGCCACAAAGGCATGACCACCTGCAGAGTTCCCCAACAACTCTTTAACCTGGCTTTTCTTATTCCTTCTCTGTGATAGGATCTTTTCCCATTGTGATTTGAGGCTTCAGAACAAAGGACACCAGCATCTCCATTAAAACAAGCAGCTGGGCAGGGGGTGTAGCCCAGTTGGTAGGGCTTGCCCAGCATTCAGCTTTTCATCCCCAGAACTCCATAAACCAGGCACGGCGGTGCTTGCCCGTCATGTCAGCATTTGGGAGGAGAAGCAGGGGGACCACAAGTTCAGGATCGTTTTCAGCTCCATGAGTTTGAGGCCAGCCTAGGCTACATAGAGACTACCTCAAACAAACAGACAAAAATACCCCGGACTTTTAGGAGGTAGATGTAAGGATGGAGAAGACAAGGATGGATGACCGCTCAGATCTTAGCCTACTGAGAAAGGTCAAGCAATTCTTTGATAAACCTTACCATTGATGTGCAGCTGGAGTTCCTTTGTTGTGGGGTAAGGAATCCCCAATCTGACAACTGACCAACCAGACGTGACAGTTGGAGGATCATCATGGCTGGGCGTTCTCTCCTCTGCCTGCCTGTTTTCGTCTTTCTCACGTCCGTTTTCTCAGCCTAATTTTTTTTATTTTACCTATTTAGACTCTGCTCTCGCTCTCTTTAATTCCTTCCTCCTTTAATTTTATGTAATAAAGTGGTTTTAGATTTTTAGTTATATCAAAGTTTTATCTTCCTTGTTCATTATTTCTCTCCGGATTTTAAGTTAGATATGAATTGTGAAACCCCCAACAGTATGAAAATATCAAGTTCATCTTCATGTCCCTAACAAGACTCATCCCATCCAATACCTGGGCTCCTGTTCATACGCACATGTCTATATGGAAACGGTTCAGGACAAGAACACAGTTTAGATACCGTTCAGCAACTTGCTTTTTCCCCACCTCAAAGCATGTACAGTTGTGCATGGTGACACATAATGCTTGTATCTTAACACTTGAGGCAGTGGAGGAAGATCTCAGGTTCTAAGTTCCAGAGTGTGATGTAGTCTAAACAACAACAGAAGGTCAAAGAGATGGCTCAGCAGTTCAGAGTACTGGCTGCTCTTCCCAAGGACCTGGGTCGCATTCTAGCACCCACATGGCAGCTCACAACTGTCGCAACTCCTGGCTCTGAAGACACAGGGAACATATGTGGTACACAGACAGAGCATCCACACATAAATAAAAGCGACAGACAACTTATGCTGAGCTTGCTTCATCCACATTCCTATCTACTTTCCCATTCCACACGTTTTTCATTTCACCTGTTACAATTAGGACCTGTCTCTTGGTTTTTTTCTTTTGTTGTTTTTAATACGTGGGGCTAGATAGACAGCTCGGTAGTTAAGAGCACTGGTCACTCTTCCAGAGGAACCAGATTCGGTTCCCAGCACCCGTAGGACTCACAGTCATGTGTAACTTTGGTTTTAGGGGATCTGACCCTTCTGACCTCTGAGAGCTCCTGTATACATTGTTCAAACATAAAAACTTAGAATTGTGTATGTATATGAAAGCGTGTGCAGGCAGGTGCATGCAGGCTTGAGGCTGATGATAAGTACCCCCAGTTACTCTCCACCTTATTTTTTTAAGACAGGGTCTTTCACTAGAGCTCACCAATTTGCTGGCAGGCTAGTGAACCCCAGAGATCCTCCTGTCTCCCCGGCCTGAGGAGGTCCTGGGGAACAAGCCGATTCATGTTTGCACGGCAAGCACTTCATCAACTGAGCCGTCTCTCCAGAACCTTGACTGTTTCTCCAAAAGGTTGCATAGAAGGGAAAGGCTTTGCTAAGACTCCAATTCAGGCGTTCTTCAGTGCCCGTCTGTTACAGTGCCCACTCTTTCCTAAACTGCTTCACCTGCTCTGTAACCCTTGCATCTATGCCATCTCCAGCTTCAGGTGGTAGCAACAAGCCCATTGGCTGTGCCAGCTCAACATTTCCATAAGCATCATAAACTTTAAATCCAACGGGGGGAGGGAAAAGGGGGGGAGCACGCGGCTGGAGAGATGCTCACCTGTTAACACTGCTATTGCAGAGAACCCAGGTTCAATTCCCAGCAGTCAGGTGGTGGCTAACCATGTGTAACTCCAGTTCCAGGGGACCCAAAAATCTTCAGGCGCGCACGGGCTTCTGCCCACATGGTGTGCATACATACACTCAGGTGTGCACACACAGATAACATAAATGTATTTTTAAAAATCAAATAGATGGATTTTGCTTTTTCCATTTTCATGTGAAAGCATGTGTGTTTGTATGTTTGCAGTCCCACATTTGAGTTTGTGCACACGTGTAAGCCAGAATCAATGTCTGGAATGGTCTCTGATCACTCTTCCACATCACTCAGGAGGCAGGCTCTCTCTCTAACACCGTTCTGGCTAGCCAGCCTGCTCTGTGGATCTCATCTCTGCCTGCTGAGGCTGGAATTCCAGATGGGCCACCACATGCTCTTGCATTAAATGGGTTTTGAGGACCTGCACTCTATTCTACTTGCAGAGCGAGTGCCTTAGCCACTGAGATCTCTCTCCCGCCCAGTTTGTTTTTTCCCCCCTTCAAGGTCAGAAGAGGGGTCAGATCCCCTGAAACCAGAGTTAGATGGTTTTGAGCCATAGTTACCCACGTGGTAAATTTCCTTGTACATTTAAAGTAGAGGCATTCTATAAAGCTTGCCATAATTTGGGAGCCAGTTATGTGACTTCCTGGCTTGAGTTGGATCGCAGCTAGGTGAAGAGATGACAGGAATGAAGAAAGATAGCATTGTGCATGCTACTGTACGTACCATGCATACACGATGGTCCTGGTGGTAGCAGCTCTCCACTGTTTCTTTACATGTACATTGTGGGTTGAGGAGACTGCTTAGTCAGTGAAGTGCCTCTTGTACAAGCAGGAAGACCTGGGTTCTGATCTTTGAAATCCATGCATGGTGATATATGCCTGTAACCCAAGTTATGGGGTTGGGAGTAGAGACAGGTGGATTCCTGGAGTTCACTGACCAGCCCATTTAGACATGCATCTATAAGCTCTAGGTCCAGTGAGACCTGTCTCAGAAATGAAGGAGAAACACACAGCATCCATCTTGGGCACACAGCACCCGACACACACACACACACACACACACACACACACACACACACACACACACACACGCACACACGGTATTTTGTGTAATGGATACATTGTTCAAAAGATATGGGCTACCAGGGTAATTATCTGTACGTGAACAAAATTAGATCCTTACCTCACATCACATATTGCCAAATGTAAGCAATGATCCATGCGCATGTTAAACTATCCCAAACAAAATCTAATGTATTAGAAAATGGCAGCACACCTGATGACTGTCTCCAAAAATTAATTTCACAAGTCAAGCTGGTTCTGGTGGCTCACATCTGAACTCCCATCCCACATTTGGGATAGTAAGACAGGAGGATCACCATGAGTTTAAGGCCTGCCAGGGCTACAGTGCAACACTTGTCTTTCAAAACAAGACAAAACAAGGCCTCGGTTGGCGACATGCCTGCCTCACCACCATGAGGTTCTGAGTTATTCCCAGAACCCATGTGAAAAATGTCAGCTATGGCTGTGGCTGTTACGTACCTGCTGTGCACACGTATAAAAGTCAGGTATGGTTATGGCTGGCTGTTGGTTACGTGCCTGTTGTGCACACGTAAGACTCAGGTTCCATCCCCAGAATCCATGTACAAAATGGAACCATGGACACCTGTGATCTCAGCAATGAGGAGCTGGAGACAGGTGGCTCCGGAGACATGCTGGGCCAGCCTAGCTTACTAGGAGAACTCCAGGCCAGTTAGGGACACCCTGCCTCAGCAAACAAGGAAGACATCATCTGAAAGTTGTCCTTGGGCCTCTACACACTTGCACACACACAAACACATAAGAAAATAATCTTACAGGCCAATGACAGGACAGCTCAAGGAAACATATACATTTGTTTCAAATTGATTTTCAATGTTCAGATTATTTACATACAAATTTACAGATAATAAATCTCTATTAACACATCAAAATAAATGATTTAGCTAGAGTCCACTTCCGAATTGCATAACTCCTACAAAGTGTAATGCTACACCAGGTAGACTGTCTTGTTACTAGCAGAATGTTCCTAAGTCAACTGGCTTAGAAACAAATAGTCTTAGAAAAAGAAACAGTCCAGACACAGAGTGGCTACAGTCATGCTGGTTTACTGCCTCTGCGACATCAGGCCCCAGTTTATTCTACTTCTGTAATGGTGAGGATTCTTACACTGTGGCCACTGTTGGGAGCCTCACTGGGCACCACATCCAGACAAGGCAATGCTCACTAAGTTTCGGCTTCTTTGAGGAAACCCTTTCAAGAGATGCTCTCTGATAACCCCTCCAACTCTTTAGACTTGGGCCCAAAGCTACAGGGAAGGATTATCACTACCAAAGACACTTACCAGGAGTTATAGCCCACGTTCCCAGGAGGGCAAAGAGCAAGGAGGGAGTGACAGAAGGCAAGGGGTGATGTGTGTGTTCTCACCGCCTAGTGATGGCAGAGTGGAGAACGTTCCCCACAGCAGCACAGACAGCCGCACAGCAGCGCAGACAGCCGCACAGCA